TTATATATTAAAGATAGGTAATCGGACCTCTACAGGCGTTTGGGATTTTGCGTTGTGCAACTTTCTTGTAAGCCTTATTTAGTTATTGGTTTCTAAGATCTTCACAGGGTCGGGAAAGTATACTTGACCTTACTGTGAAATATTGTATAGCAGGTACATCATGCATGGACAGCATGGTTATAGTGTGTGCAGTGTTTTGTGTATTTTCTTTGTCAGTCCATGTCATCTAAAATTATTCCTTAATGATAGAAATAATTTGATGATGTACATTACTCACATGGCCTTGCCAGGAGACCATCCCGTGAAGTGCAGTACGCATGTGATAACGAACTCACTCCGTCACGCAAACCGCTATGTCCTATCTAAGACATCTAACCCAACCCCAGAAATGCAAGTATCAGACCTCTATACGTGGGTATCATCCCAATTAGGTTAATGGATTTCCTAGATGTTCACAGTGTCTGCGAGGCAGACCAATACTGTAAAGTATTGTGTAGGCCTAATAAGTATAATAAAGGTATGTTATATAGCCTACCCTATAGAACCTATGTATAGCCATATGTGGTGCTAAACGTAGGCTTGGTTATGGTTTGCCGTACAGACTCTGACTACCTAAAGTTAATTAGTTGCAGGGTAAGAAAGTCCGTTTGTCTGTCTGTTTAGAATGAGGCAGATGTTATCAAATATATATGGTTCGAATAATAAGGCAGAATTTTTCTGACCAAACCATCCCATTTGTATAAATATTAATGGAAATAAATAATAGACCGATGAATGGTTTTGATGATTATGAATCTTAATGAAACATGGAAATTGGCTGTGATTGAATATTAGGGCTATAATACTATATCATATTTCATAGAGTCTTGGGTTAACCCTATTCGACTGTGAATTTTATTCAGTTTCGTCTTTTTTTACGTGACTCGGGCGTTTGACTCGGGCTCGGAATTGACTCGGACTCGGATTTGACTCGGTAAATGATTCACTCTGTTTGGCCCTCAGGCCCCTCACAAATTCAGTTATTTACCGAAGTTGGCACTTGGCAATATGGCACACCACACTGAGAGTCTGAGACGCTGACTGCTGTCATGATTATATTTATAAATCATTGCTTTATAAATAATTACTTATTCTGTTATTCAGTTGTAGCGCATTTCAATCAATATTTCGAAATTCGAATCGTTCCATCCTGAACAACACGCGTCAATGTATTATATATGTGTTATAGCCGGTATATTTGTATTCAGACAATTCAGTCAGTTTTTAATAATACACAATACAAAAGTGCGATACAAAAACATGAAACAATTTACAACACTACATTTACCTGGCAGAATGATCCAAAAGCCTCTTGATGAATGATCGCAGTGGAACAACAGCACAGTCTTCGCCTCAATGGTCGTATGATGTTCGCCTTGAAAAGCCAAATTCCAAAACCAAAAGACCGCCGAAATACAATTAGATCAAATTTCGGAATGGCTGACGTTTATTGGTTAATCGTGCCTCGTCGGAAATAAACTTTCAGTATGCCAATTCCAGATGGGTCTGATCATAGACTGCTAGACATAGTCAAAATTCTTTTCAATTCGCGGCGCCGCCGGCGCGCAAAAAATTGCGGTTCCCGTACGTGTATCGCGATATTTCTCGCGCGCGCGCTTGAAAAATTGCAATATATTTTAAATTCATGCAAGCGCGCGCTTGAAAAATTGCGCAATCTCAACTTCACGCGCGCCTCATTTTTGAAATTGCGCGTCTGACAGCTAATTTTTTTAAATTTGCGCGTCTGGGCGCGCATTTTGAAAAAAATTGCGCGACCGAGATCTCGGGCGCGCAGTACAAACTTTCCAGTCTGGATTTCTCATAGTATCCTACTCCGTGTTAAATAAGCACAGAAATTCGAGTGTAACAAGGCAAATACTAATGCAATATTTTATGATCAATTACCTATATTGTAAATCGCGCCATTCCTTGCTTTCCCAATCGCTCGATATGTTTTTATCTGATAGTGTAGACTTCTCTTGTTTAATTGCGAAGAACGTTGGCCAGTATAACGCTCAAAACGACATATTTTTAGCTAACATAACACCCACGCAATAGAATTCTCTCTTGTAGTTTTGGTGCTACCCAGCCAATGACGTCACAAAGTTCATTGACCTTCGGGATAATTTTTCAAAAATTGTTTCCAAGATGGCGGCGAAACTGGCCGAAACACAAAGTTTGCATGCATTTTACTCGTAGACTAAAATGTTCGAGAAGGAAATGATAATATTTTCATAGTTCGGTTGTCATAGCATATAGCCATGGATTGAAATAGCCAATAAAAATTTTCGTTGCCATTTTCCTTTAATTAATCAACGACAACAAATATATGAAAACAATAAAAAACATAAACAGTATGGACAAGTACATTTTTAGTTCGCTTCATCTCATATATTTATAATGTCTTTTTATCTAACAAAAATTTTCAGGGAAAAATTATAATTCTGTGGCTGGTTTAGGTGACTGTATTTTTGGACCAAGAAATGGTCGTGGGGCGACGCTCTTTGAAAAAAACCTAAGGCTCCGTCATTACTTGTCTGATCGGAATGAAATTTGACACAATTATTCTAAGCAATATTCCGTCATCGATCGACGGTGTTCAATTTTTTATTTTTGACTTTAGAAGCAAGATACAAGCAATTTTTGACTGTATTCGTAGCAAATAATATATACATATTAATATTCAGCAAATATATCAGCAAACGCAAACGATTAGAAAGACATTGTCTTGTCTATTGTTGTGAATACAATCACAATAGTTTAAAGATTCGCAAGAATGTGAATGACTAATTCTAACGATTAATTATAAGCGTTAAGTTGACTAAATTTAACACGCTGGCTTAGTTTCTCAAAGCGCAGAGGAGTAATATTGCTATCATCTGGCTATCATATAATATTCATGGTCTGATAGAAAATGGTGAACCGTAAAAACAAAGACATATAGATTTGTTTTTAGCACAAGCATGCACAGTGGTGGCGCCAAGGAGGGGCTAGGGGGGGGGGTACAGTCCCCCTGTCGGGGAGCCCTTGCCCCCTTGTCGGGGGAAAATTACCAGATTCGTCGGGGAAAACGGAGAAAAAAATTTGAAGGAATTCCGAAAAGCACGATCTTGTCGCCACTGCTCGTTCTCCCCCATGTTATTACATTAATGAATAATTTGCATTAATACCCATTCACTTCTGCACTAGCTAGGAAAGTGCGACTGTAGTGCGTAGCTAGTTACGCACTACAATCACATTTCTCTGTATAGTACATGCGACAGCGTTACGCAAGTTCGCTTCGTACCAGACATCAATACATAAACATAGCACGCTAAATGACAACTTATAATTACCTCATATTCTAAATGTAGCTTTTGCATATCATACATATATAAACGTACACTTGCGCATTCTATGTAAATAACTTATATCAGTAAAGATATCTTAGGCTATCTCGCTTGGCGCACTCAAGAGGACATCGACGACTTTGTACGTGAAATAAGTATTCTGCGGAATATTTTGACGTGAACCGGCAATCGGATTTCCAATTCCAATTTGAAAATCAGAAAGCAATACTCGCTCTAAAAACGTATTTGGCCGTACGCTCTGAAGTTTGTTGCACAATTGTGATGAGGCTTTGTTTCCCGATGTTTTCTACATACAAAATCTAAACACAAAGACTTTCACGCGCCTGGTCATCAGGCAGCCGTAACCATTGAGTTGGATAAGTCTGATACTCGTCAGAGTAAAATTCTATCGCCGCTACTCCCACAAACGTCTACGACCGCATCTACATATTCAGTTTGCATGTTTACAATTCTAACGTTTAATCCGGTTCTTGGCAACAATTAAAGGCCGACCATTTAACTTTTGAGGGAGATTTTGAAAATAATTTTCCTGCAAGGCTATTCTGAACAAAAGACCTCCACTAACAAACTGGAGGGGAATATCCTGCTATAATATTTGGTGGGAAAAAAATGTTGCAAAACAGCATGGTTGCAGGGATCGATTTGACCAATCCTAGAAGATCAGCTGGTTTGATTTTCAGGGACTAGTGAAAGGTTAATTTCTTGTTGGAAAAACTCCTCAAAATGCTGGAAATAGCTTATCTGAGCTTCAAGAAATCCTAAATTTTCTGGGGGCATGCCCCCAGACTTCTCTACAGGTTACACATCCTTAAAAGAGGCCCTGAACCAAATGTTATACCTCATAGCAATATGTATTATTAAAAGCAATGCATGAAGCTAAAAAACTCAACGTTAACTATAATTAAACGGAATCCAAATAGTAAATAAATAAGCTATTGAAAAAAAATGCTGCGAAAGAGAGAGTGGCAAAAAAGAATCGTACAGGGTGATGGGATAGGAAAAAAAGTTAAATGGTCGGACCCTTACAATGAAACGTCGTTGGCTGTTTAAAATTAGAATTGTAATCATGCAAAAATATGTAGGTGCGGTCGTAGACGTTTGTGGGAGTGGCGACGATAGGAATTTTTGATGTTTTTCCACATTGTTCGGTGAGTTCCGTCATATACTGATTCGCGGTACATTTTATAAAGAACTCATCATGCTGGCTCAATTGTATATTTTAAGTATATAAAATATGTTAGTATATATTGTACGCTTAACCATGAAAAAATTTGCATAGCCCCCTTGTCGGGGAACATAGCCCCTCTGTCTGGAAATTCCTGGCGCCACCACTGAGCATGCAGTTATGAAGCCATAACTAAGGCGAGATGAAATTGCATTAACCACATGGCATTAACCTATAGCAACAATTCAGATAATTTGTTACACGACTGTAGCTGCAATATTTTGCAATTAATGGCACGCACGGCACGGCAAAATTTGATGTACGGCAAAAGTTAGCCGACTTAGGCACGGCATGTTTATTCTAAATATTGTGGGACATATAACTTATCTATCGAATTCAAATGCGAGGAAATTAGTACTTTTAAAAACTGCGCGTTTAGTTATTTATGCTTTGTCCAGATTTGCACCTCATTTATTTTAGGCTATACACGGCACTAGACACATTTTGCCCTGATAAAGTATATCTTGCATGATAAAATTGAAGCAAAACATTTAGCGAACTCAGTCTACGTTGCCAACTTCGAGAACATTGGTTTCACAAGTGTCTAGTTACTTGTTTATCAAGTCAAAATCTCGAAGGTTTTGAACTTTAACGATTTGCACAAGATCGAAACTGGGTCACGCAGATCCTGGTCCACTATAGCACGATCGTACTTGTTTATTTAAGATGGCAGGTGTCAAATTCCTCCTGGCTATCTGCAAATAAAATTTACAGCTCTTCACATAGTCAAAACACAACTATTCCTGACTGTTATTATAGTTTTTATAAACATTGTAAAATTTACCTTGTATTACCTTGTATTTTACATTGTAAAATTTACCTTGTAAATTCGACTTTCGCTAACAAAAACGTGTTGAGAAAGTTCTTTAACCACGTACAGCAGTTGCTCCTTTTCTTTATTTTAGTCTGAAAGACTTTTAGACACTTTTTGCCATTTGAAACTCGGCTTTCGTCGCAGCTTCGTAGGGTGATTAAAAATTTCTTTGATGCCCGTGAACACAAAGTAGATACATATACAGAGTTATAACTAGTGTACCCACTTTTATTGTGCGCGTGCTCGGCAAGTTAATAAATGCATGCATCCCATTGGATGGCGGCTCGCTTTAACTGCTCGCGGAACTTGCCGAGCACGCGCAGTTGATCACTTTTTGCCCGGTCGCTTGAAAAAAAGTGGGTACATGAAAACGTAAATTTCCGCAGTGTTTATGACGGCCAGTTACTACAGCTCTGTATGTATCCACTCTGTTCCGTGGGCAATTCGAGAAAATCCTGCCTCGTCAGCAGCCAATCAAATTGCGCGATTCATCAAAACAATATGAATATGAATGATTATATATATAGAGGCAGTGCTCTGAATAATAATATGAATAATAATATTAATGATTATATAGAGGCAGTGCTCTGAAGCGGGTTATATACTGTTAGTAGTTATTTAATTTGCGCAATGTTTTTAAAGATTAAAAGAAGCAATAACTGATGAATGATTATAGAGGCAGTGCATGCTCTAAGGGTTATGACTGTTTGTAGTTACGTTTACTTATTAGTTTGCCCAATAGGCCCTTTCAAGGTTTATTCCGCCATATTGCCGGGGGTGCAAAACATTGGGGCGAGCGCGCGGCCAAGCCATGGCTGCCATATATTTTACTAATGAGTGAGCGATAATTTTGTGTGGACATTTTGTTGATTTTCTCATGCTATATTAAAAGATAGTCCAAACTTTTGTATTTTGGCTGATCTGTGTGTATTTTCAAACTACTGGTAAAGATTTCAATGGAATCTGATTGGGGGAAACCCGTGAATATGCTGATTTCTTCGACACCTTTCGGCGAGCTGTTTACAGTGGATTCACGACAACGAAACGCCGAAAACAGGGCTTTTACGTTTGTTTAAACAAAACAACATTACAAAAGAATCATGTTTAAAAACAACACAACAAAGCCGTCGGGAAAGAAGAAAGACGTCCAGGTGCGAGAATGTAACCTGATACCAATGTCAATCTCACCTTTACACTGACGTAGATATAAGAGATAAACTTGTTTATATTTTATGTTCTCATAGCGGATTATATTGCAAATAGTCATTTTACTTTGGCTGTTTATGGCTACAAAGGAGAAGCTTGAATACGAAGATTTCGTTGGGTTTACAGAGTGGGAAAAAGGCTGAACTTGTAGCAAGAGCATTTAAAGCGTATGAATTGGGTGCTCCAAAGGAATTTACACAGGAACAAATTTTTGATAGTATTAATTAAGAAGGAATACCAACAAAGGCTACAAACTAATGATATTATTAAGAGCGATCCTAACAGTGCGATGAATATTGGAAAGATGACATTCAAACATGGCACATCTTGATGATGGAATGCTAGGCCCCTACATTCTATGAGTAAAGGCAGTGGATGTTGAATATATTGGCAAATACAAAGATGAGAGGGCTTACTCATATTGGATGAGTGGATTTGTTGATATAATTCATGTTGCCAAATGCCCATTGACAAGACCATGACATTTTTTTGTAAAGCTCAGTATGTCGATCACAAAGGATTTGTGATGACTCACATATAAAAGTGTGGATGTGTGTCCTTGAACAGCTGGAACAGTTGAGGCATGTAATCATGTACTTGTAGTCGTCTATGTATAAGATCAACTATGCTTACAACAAGTAATATATTTCCCCAGCCTGTGTGCCTGTACCAGTGTTCCCCAAGGATGGAACAAAGGAACATGAAAAGAAGTAAATCCAAGCAAGGTTAAAAATTTAATATTTAGACCAACATCCTGGCTGCGATTAAACATTGAGGAAAGAATTTGACCCCAGAAAAACTGAGGACAGAAATATTACCAATGAAAGAGTTTCTTTACGTACAGTTCCATAGACAATATTTACATATTTTTCCTTATATTAATTTGGGCTAAAGACCTACTAGATACTTTGTCAGGCTTTTTGCTTCAGGCCCCTAGTAAAGCTTTATAGTTAACTGTTAGATTTATAATATATTATTTTATTTTACAGTCAAATCAGAGAGAGAAATTCAGAGTAATAGAGGAACAATAATATGCAAATAGATTAATATGCAAATAGAATGTTTTCATAAAAAAATGCTGTTTAATTTGTTTTTGAGATGTATTGAGAGTTCATGTTTTTATTTTTTATTCTAGTGAGTTCCATACATCAACTCCATGCATTATTAGAGAGAATATGTTTTACATAATTTGTTCTTTTATTCACTTGTGAAGTTTTGATGAGTTTCTTGTGCTATTTTGATAAATTTGATTGATAGTCACAAAAAATTATCAAATACTTCAGGCAGGTTTTTAAGATCATTGAACAGCATTGCCATTGTAGATACTGTTTCGTCTGCTTGTGTTTTGCTCTCAGTTGGCTATGGGGGTGGTACTTCCTATGAGAACAACTGAAACTCTCAATATCTCTCAATATTATATACCCTTTGGATTTGCCTACTTTTAAAAGTTTATCTCTTATATCCAATTACTAATAGAATGTCATATAATTAAAGGTGAGATTGACATTGGTATCAGGTTACACTCTCGCACCTGGACGTCTTTCTTCTTTCCCGACGGCTTTGTTGTATTGTTTTTAAACATGATTCTTTTGTAATGTTGTTTTGTTTAAACAAACAGAGACGTAAAAGCCCTGTTTTCGGCGTTTCGTTGTCGTGAATCCACTGTAAACAGCTCGCCGAAAGGTGTCGAAGAAATCAGCATATTCACGGGTTTCCCCCAATCAGATTCCATTGAAATCTTTACCAGTAGTTTGAAAATACACACAGATCAGCCAAAATACAAAAGTTTGGACTATCTTTTAATATAGCATGAGAAAATCAACAAAATGTCCACACAAAATTATCGCTCACTCATTAGTAAGATATATGGCAGCCATGGCTTGGCCGCGCGCTCGCCCCAATGTTTTGCACCCTCGGCAATACAGTGTGTATAATATACACTTAATGTCTGCTCCCGAGGGAAATAGTTAGTTTTGTTTTCCCGAGAGTCTCAATGTTCCCGAGACGAAGTCGAGGGAAACATTGAGATTCGAGGGAAAACAAAACTAACTATTTCCCGAGGGAACAGACATTAAGTGTTTTGTTATATAGCGACGAACAAAAATCAACTTCAACAACATTCATGTACAACAATTGTTTTTCGTGGCTAAAACACTATAGAGTAAACCAGTTTAAAATTAAAGAACCTACTTAAACGGTTTCGGCAGCATATACTGTTCTGTATTTTTCTTTCCTTTTACATTCTTTATTTGAACACAAACTTGGAAAATCGTAGTTTCTAATTATCGTAGTTGTGCCGCCATTTTGTTTATTTATGTACGTGGCCGGTCGGGGCGGGCAACAATTTTTCACTTGTTGCCCGCGGGAAACATTGCATTTATCTGAAGTCACGTGACCACAAATCAGCCAATCACGTTTGGTGTTCACGCTAGCTATATAACAATATATATTATATACAGGCTGTGCTCTGAAGGTTATATATTGTTTGAAGTTATTTAGTTCGCACAGTATTTTATAGAACGAATTACGACGCAATAAATAATATTTTGCCACGTCTTGCTGACGTAATAAGTGATACCGACAAAGGAAAAAGGTCGCTTCGTGCGAGAAAATTCGCTAGTGGAAAACCGACTTTATTGCCTCTTTTATAGAACAGTATAATAAGCAACAACAGAAGTGAAGATACTGTATTCGAAAAAACTTGCATTGCTGCATGTGTGGTTTCTTTGATGCATGCTATTCGTGATATTCGGTTTGAATTCAATTATTCAGGAGGTCAATTTTGGTTTCTTCAGTGGTTATCTTCAGCCAATCCAGTTATTCCGACTGAGATAACAATTTGCCGATTAGATAACAATAGCGCCGCCCCTGTGAACAGCAATAGAATATTATAAACTTGACACAAACAAGAAGACATTTGACACGCTAAATCTGCAGTCATGCCTGCCAATCGTCGCAAGCTTGACAGCCTTGTCAAACGCAAAACAAGTACTAATTTGGGTTTAAACAGAAAGAAGTTCAATGTTAATACCACCAACATATATTCTATAGAAATACGGGTGGTTTAAAATGTTTTCAATTGAATTTTCAAAGCTTTTATCTATCGACATGATAATCAAACTGTGAAAATGCCGGCTTTTGTTGACGCTTGCGAATGCAAAATAACTTTCCGTAAACAGAGCATTTCTACACAAAACTCTCGCGTAGTCTTCTAATGCACTTGTATGTTCGGTTTCTACTAGTTAAACAAGGAAAATATCCAAGAAACACTGGTAAATTATCGTTGTCAAAAAACATTTCAGTGCTGAGGCAGTATACAAGGTCTCAAGGGCAAGGTCAAGTTGTCGATTTCATTACATTTTACAGTAGTTCGAATGTTTTCGAACTCTTATCTCATACAAGAGCAGTAAACGCACGCATTTCAAAGCGAAATTAGACGCAAAGGGGCAATTTTTCAACAAAATTCATTGTTAAATTATGTTTCCTATGTGCCTTGGGAGCAAAAAAGTATGATTTTAAATTTGGAGATTTCGGTAAATTTTTTTGCAATTTGGCCTGGTATTGCACCCTACCTATCTACTAACTGTGCTGTAGAAGTAATCAAATATACTATTTTTAATTTCCTTTCATTGAAAGGATCTACTATTGTGGAAGCAATTTCTCTGCACAGCGACAACAAATTTCCCAGCAGCTAAAGCTGCTGCATATTTTGAGATCGGTGAGGATGACCACCATGAACGCTGAACCATGGTTATGCGCCTGCGCTTATTGATGAACTTTACACTTCGCTAGTGCATTCCTTTCGGATCGCCAGGTGTAAATAACCGGGCGGAATTAGTACCCTCGCTGCGTGCTTACGTCCGCCGCCGTTGGCTCGGGGATAAATTAATTCGCAATTATTTTTTTTTATTTAGGTACATGTTTTGGTCACGTTGGGGAAAGAAACCCAGAATTGTCCGTGCCTCCATGGATGGCACAGGTCGAAAAAATGTCATTACAACTGATGTCAAAAGGCCAAAAAGTTTAGCAGTTGATTTCAAGGACCCTAGGTTATTTTGGCTTGATGCTTTTAAGGACTATAGTCGTCTAGAAAGCTCAAATCTTGATGGCAAAAATCGAAAGAAAATAATCAGCAGCTCTTTGCGACGCCCTTTTTCAATTACTCTATATGGTGATCGAGTCTTTTGGACGGACAGGAAGAAATTGTCTATTGAATCATGCAACAAGAAGACTGGGCTTGAAAAATGGCTTGTGAAGGATAAAATAAAAAAAATAATGGATCTTCAAGCTTTTGAAGCTGAAAGGCAACCAGATGGTATGTAATTGTTGAACAATTAAGAGCAATCTTAATATAAAATATGCGTTATTATTAAATTAAGCCACTTCCTAAATTCGGTCCCATGCAGTAACAATCTCGTACACAGAGCCATCGTTGAGTGGCTGCGCCATATATGGCATATTAATATATACTATTAGTATAAATTTTGCATATCAAATGAGCTTTCGCGCGTTCTGATTGGCTAGTTGACTAGTAAATCCGAGGCATTATTTACCACCTGGGTAGTAAATAATGCTTTTAAAAAAGAATGATTCGGCAAATTTGGTTTCAAAATCGACAAAATATTGAAAAAATCGTTCCCAGAAAACGAATGAAGCACAAAATGTTGTTTTAACTTGAAAGATATAACTATAGGATTCCTTTATTATTTTACAGTGTCAAACATATTCACGGACAATTTAGAACTTATTTAAAACTAAAATCCTTTTTGTTTTCAAACAAATAGCAAAAAGTATCCCGACTGTTCAATGGGAAAACCTTGCCGAGATATTCTTTCAAATCCATTTTGTTTTCTATCCTATAGAGTCAATTTGTACGATACTATTTCTTTTGATATGTCATGTTTTCATTGTTCTGTATGGCGTTATGACCTCTGTATTGTGTTTTCAAATCTTGTAAAGTGCAAAGTGTTATTAAAACTTTATTTCGAACGATATAATTTTACATTTCGATTTACCAAATTTCTCAGCCATTTCCTGAAAAAAATATTGCTAAACAGAAACTATTTTTTAATTCTAAGTCTGGTGAAAAAGTCATTCCGTCATTGTGTTTATATTCTAAGCAGAAATCGATAAAAACATGAACTTTGCAATAAAGCGATAAAGTCACACAAGAAGCCATTTTGAAAGCGTGTGCGTACAAGAAACACTGCGACACTATTAGTGAACAGGCCGAAAACAGTTTTATTTCTGAATTTTAATTGAACTGTTATTTGGATTTTTATTTTATTAATTAAAAATTTATACTAAAACAATTATTCGCCTCAGGCTCAGCGATTAGAGCGAATATTCACCACGACTTCGTCTCGGTGAATATTCACCGGTATCACTTCGCCTTCGGCGAATAATTGTTAATTAGTATAATTACATAGGTTACCGTTGGTTATCTGATTGGTTACCGTTGAGGTATTACTACGCGATAATCACCTAAGTGATTTTCAAAATGGCGGCCGAAGCCGTTTTGTCAATTAAAAGACGACGAAATGTGCATTTTTAAATTTTTTTCCAAATAATCACCCATGAAATTATACTAAAACAATTATTCACCTCAGGCTCGGTGATTATCGTGAATAAAAACCTCGACTTCGTCTCGGTTTTTACTCACCGATAATCACCTCGCCTTCGGCGAATAATTGTTAATTAGTATAATTACATAAGTTACCGTTGGTTACCTGATTGGTTATCGTTGAGGTGATTATTACGCGATAATCACCTAAGCGATTTTCAAAGTGGCGGCCGAAGCCGTTTTGTCAATTAAAAGACGAAGAAATGTGCATTTTAAAATTTTTTTTCCAAATAATCACCCATGAAATTATACTAAAACAATTATTCACCTCAGGCTCGGTGATTATCGTGAATAAAAACCTCGACTTCGTCTCGGTTTTTATTCACCGATAATCACATCGCCTTCGGCGAATAATTGTTAATTATTTAACATCGGTAATTATACAGGGTGTATAAAAAAAAGGTAATCGAACTTCAGCGCGCTATTATACGTGAATCACTCGGCGTATGAACAATTGGTTTTCATATTTGGAAAGATCAGGCTTTTAGCTATTGAATGACATGCTTTTCATACCAGGCCAATCGAGGCCAATCAAAAATGTTAGTCAAAATCGCATATGTTCACCTCTGTGCCTAATTAAAACAATGCATAACAAAAGAAAAAGCAATTTAATCACTAACGTGTCGTACCTTAGCTAAGATTTATTCCTACTTAATAATAATTATGAATATGTGCGTAGTTTAATGAAGTGAAATTCATCAACTTAATACCAAAGGGAGTTCATTTTCAATGGTTTTAGACCCAACTCTCAACGGTGAAAATATGCGATTCTGACTAACATTTTTTATCGGATTTGTATTTGCTCATTTTTTTTAAACGTAAGTCAATTGTACGTATAGTCAGTTGTCTTTATCCTTAGTAACAGTATGGAAGCAACCGTGCCCCAAAACAGTGTCTCTCATAAAACAAGAAACATAACATCATTTGAAGCATGGCGTCAAAATTTACAATATACATTTATTTATCGTTGTGGTATTAAAATGGTAATGGTCTATTGACACATTTAGTAGCAGTTACGCTAATTTACAATGAACCTACACCCAATGAACACTCCTTATCTGTCCAGCTAGACCCTGATTCTACCCTATCAAAAAGCATGCACTCCGAATTCAGCCGGTTAGTTAAAGCGGCCTATACCAGGGTCTCTGCTGGAGAGAGCCTGGCTTGCGAGGTTGGGAAGTTACTTCGCTACTCCTGACGAAAGACTGTCACTCCAAACATTGACAACACTGGCACAGATCGTTCAAGTTTAAATTGAAAACGGACAGATAATCGTTTTCCAATCAATTATTTTTGTTAACGTACTCGATAATTTTGGTTTTGTTATGCAAGCAAGGGCATAAAGAACAGTGACTTGAACAGATCAATTTGCATACAACACAAGAAAAAATTGCTGTCTTTTTGTAGCCATCATTTTAATTTTTCAAAATTAATTACTAAAATGTATGTACAGTACAACATACATTGTAAAATAAAGTATTTTGTTTATATTATAGTGAAAAACTCGTGTGCTATTGATAATGGTGGATGTAGCGACTTGTGTTTTTTGGCAGCTGGTGGTAATCATACCTGTGCATGTCCAACTGGTATTGTTCTCTTGGATGATGGCAAAACCTGTGAAGATGGTAAGCAATAAATTGTACTGTGCTGAGTACATTCCTTGTGTTACATTTTGTGCTATAAGATATGACATGTAATTAGAGAGAGATGTTTGTAACACCGCGGAATAACGTCTACGCATGCACATGTACTAGAAAAAATGGCAAGGAATTTAAATGCAAAGTTGTAGTTAAAAACATGGCTATTTAACAAACAAAAAATACACTAGACGTGTAGTTTAGACATTAATAAAAAGTTTTCTAACATTTAAAATCCAAAAATTCCGCTTGTCATGTATTTTCACAGAAAAGGCAAAGCATCGAAGTCCCATTTCGAGTTTTTGACAACCTTTAGACTGCGAACAGTCCCTCCTTAAAAGGAAAGGAGGGACTGAAGACAACACATTAAGAAACGAAATACACGTTGCCCACAAAACAATTAACAATTATACCATGAACTCGAGTCGTATATGAGCTGATAGCCGACGAGGTGCGTAGCACCGAGTCGGCTATCAGTCATATACCGGGTGGCCCAAAAAAAAGTACTCCTGTTTGATTCGTAATAACTTCTAAACAAGTAAAGTTTTTAAAGAGAAATAACTTGCATTAAATAGAGGAAGGACTAACTTAGATTTTGATATATTACAGTTGTATTTAACTTAAAAATTCACGGATATATTAATGTTAAAAATGGGGAGCATATTTTGGAATGTGTCTAAAATTAGCGAAAATCGGCATATCAAATATTAACTCCAGCGTTTGTTTGCTTAATGACATATTAGGCTAACTTGTATTTCAGCGAATTATCGTTAAGGTTTGTAAGGGATATGGCGTAGATTTAGACATCTTACATGTAAGTCTTAGCTCATTGTTTCCTGAAATATGAACGTTCGAAATTATGCAAGTATTTAATATTAGGTCTTTGCAAACTTAAATGTACATGAAAGACTGACCATGGAAGGCAGGCGCTTAAATTTTTCGTATTCTTAAATAGCCTAATTTTTTTATGTTTTTAATGGGTTCAAACAGACTGAGTAGATTATTTCTCGGTTAGAGCAGGATGAATATTCTTTATTGAAGGAAATAATATTGCTTTTTGCAAATACACATCACCGTATCAACGCTACTATTTTGTTACGTTTTGTTCCAAAAATGTTGCATGTCTCTGGGGAGTTGCTTAATTGTTATGTCTTATGGAGTTGTATGGTTTGATTGTGTTTCATATAATTCTCAGTTTACTCCATGAACTTGCCAAGATTAAGAAACGGCAAAAGAGTTTGGGTGTTCTTAACAAGATTTCAGAACGTTGCAGAAGTTAGAAGAGCTTCACAATTCCGTTGTGACAGCATGCCCTAATTCAGAACTACGAACGATCCAATGACGATCCTTCGCGATGCAGTGGTCTCATGAAATAAGGAAACGTATTCGTGCTAGGAACACACGCGAATTTCGGACGAATGAATCTTGCTTGTATTTTGTAGATATAATAATACTTTGTTTCATAATAAACAATTTGTCAAGTGTCATTTATTTACTGGTAATAGTGCATGTTTCAGTCGGGCAAATCTTGATTAATATTTGATACGCCGATTTTGCATATTTCAGACACATCCAGAAATATCCTCCCGAATTTAAAGATTAATATCTCCGTGAATTTTTAAGTGAAATACAACTGTAATATATCAAAGTCTAAGTTAGTCCTTCCTCTATTTGATGCAAGTTATTTCTCTTTAAAAGCTATACTTGTTTAGATGTTATTACGAATCAAACAGGAGTACTTTTTTTTGGGCCACCCGGTATGACGAGAGCGAATGGTGATGTTTTATAATATAGTCTATATAGCCATTAACTGAAGCAATAATTAATTATCCTCTGTTACAATGTCTTGACAATTTGTTCGGCCAAAAACCGCTTGGCCTTGAAAATTTGAAATACGTTTGTTTTACAACTCGAAGACGAAGTGAAAGAAATGGTTTTAGAACCGGTATATCTCACAGAAAAGCTCAGATATATAATACAGATGTTTGGTATATTATAATAAGTGCTTGTTGCCTGGAAATTCGTTTGTCTTTCGTTGCAAACTTTTCTAAACAATTTATATTCTCAATGAACATGTCTTTTTCGCTGTTGTTTCGGTATTAATTCTTTAAAAAAATTGCATTTAAACTAATTTCTATGTAATAAATATATTTTGCTAACCTATCAAATTTTTTTTTAGTGTTTTTCCTTGTACTATATCTTTCTCGAAGCGAATATTTTTCTTTTTTCTGCTTCGCAAAACTCATGTAGTTTTTGGACCGCCATCTTGTTTTTCGCTACTCGCCGTATATGGGCTGATATACGGCGAGTAATTCAACCAATCAGATTGAAGAACAGCTCATATACAGTGAATGACTATATTATAATAGCTCATATGCTGCTAGTAAAGAAAAACAAAATGCGGCTCAAACTGAATTTCCGACGTTTGCGAATGAGAAAACGACAATTTGTTCGCTTTTTACAGTCTTTTCAACAGATCAATTTGCATGCAACCCAAGAAAAATTGCTGTCTTTTTGTGGCCATCATTTTAATTTTTCAAAATTAATTACTAAAATGTATGTACAGTACAACATACTTTGTAAAATGAAGTATTTTGTTTATACTATAGTGAAAAACTCGTGTGCTATTGATAACGGTGGATGTAGCGATTTGTGTTTGTTGGCAGCTGGTGGTAATCATACCTGTGCATGTCCAACTGGTATTGTTCTCTTGGATGATGGTAAAACCTGTGAAGATGGTAAGCAATAAATTGTACTGTGCTGAGTACATTCCTTGTGTTACATGTTGTACTATAAGGTATGACATGTAATTAGAGAGAGATGTTTGTAACACCGCGGAATAACGTCTACGCATGCGCGTGTACTAGAAAAAATGGCAAGGAATTTAAATGCAAAGTTGTAGTTAAAAACATGGCTATTTAACAAACAAAAAATACACCAGACGTGTAGTTTAGACATTAATAAAAAGTTTTCTAACATTTAAAATCTAAAAATTCCGCTTGTCATGTATTTTCACAGAAAAGGCAAAGCATCGAAGTCCCATTTCGGGTTTTTGACAACCTTTAGACTGTGAACAGTCCCTCCTTAGAAGGAAAGGAGGGACTGAAGACAACACATTAAGAAACGAAATACCCGTTGCGCACAAAACAATTAACAATTATACCATGAACTCGAGTCGTATATGAGCTGATAGCGGACGAGGTGCGTAGCACCGAGTCGGCTATCAGCCATATATGACTAGAGCGAATGGTGATGTTTTATAATATAGTCTAATAGCCATTAACTGAAGCAATAATTAATTATCCTCTGTTACAATGTCTTGACAATTTGTTCGGCCAAAAACCGCTTGGCCTTGAAAATTTGAAATACGTTTGTTTTACAACTCGAAGACGAAGTGAAAGAAATGGTTTTAGAACTGGTATATCTCACAGAAAAGCTCAGATATATTATACAGATGTTTGGTATATTATAATAAGTGCTTGTTGCCTGGAAATTCGTTTGTCTTTCGTTGCAAACTTTTCTAAACAATTTATATTCTCAATGAACATGTCTTTTTCGCTGTTGTTTCGGTATTAATTCTTTAAAAAATTTGTATTTAAACTAATTTCTATGTAATAAATGTATTTTGCTAACCTATCAATTTTTTTTGAGAGTTTTTCCTTGTACTATATCTTTCTCGAAGCGAATATTTTTCTTTTTTCTGCTTCGCAAAACTCATGTAGTTTTTGGACCGCCATCTTGTTTTTCGCTACTCGCCGTATATGAGCTGATATACGGCGAGTAATTCAACCAATCAGATTGAAGAACAGCTCATATACGGTGAATGACTTGCGAACGAGAAAGCGACAATTTGTTCGCTTTTTATAGTCTGTACAACAGATCAATTTGCATGCAACACAAGAAAAAAATTGCTGTCTTTTTGTAGCCATCATTTTAATTTTTCAAATTTAATTACTAAAATGTATGTACAGTACAACATACTTTGTAAAATGAAGTATTTTGTTTATACCATAGTGAAAAACTCGTGTGCTATTGATAACGGTGGATGTAGCGACTTTTGTTTGTTGGCAGCTGGTGGTAATCATACCTGTACATGTCCAACTGGTATTGTTCTCTTGGATGATGGTAAAACCTGTGAAGATGGTAAGCAATAAATTGTACTGTGCTGAGTACATTCCTTGTGTTACATGTTGTACTATTAGGTATGACATGTAATTAGAGAGAGATGTTTGTAACACCGCGGAATAACGTCTACGCATGCGCATGTACTAGAAAAAATGGCAAGGAATTTAAATGCAAAGTTGCAGTTAAAAACATGACTATTTAACAAACAAAAAATACACTAGATGGGTAGTTTAGACATTAATAAAAAGTTTTCTAACATTTAAAATCTAAAAATTCCGCTTGTCATGTATTTTCACAGAAAAGGCAAAGCATCGAAGTCCCATTTCGAGTTTTTGACAACCTTTACTCTGCGAACAGTCCCTCCTTAGAAGGAAAGGAGGGACTGCAGACAACACATTAAGAAACGAAATACTCGTTGCGCACAAAACAATTAACAATTATACCATGAACTCGAGTCGTATATGAGCTGATAGCGGACGAGGTGCGTAGCACCGAGTCGGCTATCAGCCATATATTACGAGAGCGAATGGTGATGTTTTATAATATAGTCTAATAGCCATTAACTGAAGCAATAATTAATTATCCTCTGTTACAATG